ACCATTTTAATTAATATATCAATTGATTAAGTATGTTTATATCTGTGCGTATAACATTAAATTTCTTTTTCTTTCATGCCTCTTCAAAATTTCATCATTCCTATACCTACGGTGATAACCTACTTTACAACTAGCAAATAATTAACAATGTTTCCGTTGGCTTTATAAAATTCTGTTCAGTCATTGACATTAACTAGATGTATTTAAGGGAAACAAACTGGAATAATGAGTGATGACAAATTGAATTTTTAAAAGGTTCATCTCTTTTCTCTCCAAAAAAAAAAAAAAAATCTGGCTTTATTTTTTTTATTCGATAATGTAATAAAAAAGTCTTGGATAACTAGTTGATGATTGTAAAAACATTCTCGAAGGAATTTATCGATTAAACAATTTTGACAGTGTTTAATAATAGCGCGTAATATTTTCTTGGTATATTAATATTTAGTCCGGCACATAGGTTAGATTTTTTTAGAATTGCTTACTTTCTACATTGTTTCTTTCCTACTTGTCAAGGTTTATTGATATTTATATATTAACATATCACTATAATTATCTACCTCTTACTCACTGCTATTAGTATTATTGTTGATTAAATTTTTTCTCTTAATCAGTAATACATCAGGGAAACTTAGTAACAATTGTTCTATGGATATTCTACACAAAAATTTAATATTGAGAAGAGGCTTCGTGATGTATAAGTTTTATCAAGTAGATATCGGAAGCAAACCATTAATTTAACAATAATTATAGAATTACATCATTTCTATTATCTATGAAATAGATATAAAAATATATTATACAAACTTATTAATTTAACAATAATTATAGAACAACCATCCTGTTTCTATTATCCATACCTAATAACAAGAAAAAATAAATATATTATACAAAACATTAATTTAACAATAATTATATATAGAACGACTATCTTGTTTCTATATCCACACCTAATAACAAGAAAGAAATAAAAAAATATATTATACAAAACTATTGATTTAACAATAATTATAGAACAACCACCTTCTAATAATAAGAAATAGATATACAAAGTAAATATATTATACCAAACTATTAATTTAACAATAATTATAGAATGAATACCTTGTTGTATCCCTCCTTCAGCTTTTCCTTTAGGTAGTCTCATTTATTGTTTTAAAGTTTTAGTTTCTTTACAAAGTGCACATTTGACTTTTTTCACTATTATACCTTGAAAATGTTTTAAAAGATAACAAGTTCGTCCACCCAATTCCCAGTTCTGCTTTATTTTTACTTGTTTTTCTATACTTCAGAGCCTACTCTAACTTCATTGCAAACTACACATCTGCCACATAATACTATATTGGGAATGCTAGTACTAAGTTAAAAAAGTGTTAAAAAATATATCTGTAAAGTTATAGTATGTGTTACATATTGACATGTCCCCACTTTAATTGAACAATAATAGATATGTCCTTTAAATTGACCGTCAAGAGGTGCTATTATAGAAATTGATCGACAGAAAACCATTTGTATTTGCAAATTAATTATTTTAGTTTCATTGGTGTTTTTACTCACGTCAAGCGGTTTTAATTTATTTTACTCACGCCAAGCGGTTTTAATTTATTTTACTCACGTCAAGCGGTTTTAATTTATTTTACTTACGTCAAAGGTTTTTGATTTAGTCAAATCGTTAAAATGGCTTTGGTGAGAAATTATTTTTTAAATCGATACTTTAAGTATTTCGTAATCCGAACTATGCGGGATTAATAAATTTATTTATTTATTTCCCTCGCCATTATTATAATAATATTCGCAAAACCGGTTTTAATCACCTTTTACTTTTCAAATTCCGGAAGAGTAAAGATGTTAGATACTAATTTAGTAATAATTGTCTTGACTAAACTTGACTTAGTCAGTTTAGCCAGCGTTGATTTGGTTACGCGACCGGCCCTGATTCACGATCTCTACGCCCAATCCCAAATATATGATGTAATTTTTTCCAATCGAAGTGTCTTTATTATTAATTTAAAATTTAAAAAAACCCATTATAAAAGAAACATATTTTCAAAACTTTTTATTTATTTATCATTCTTTACAAATAAAAAAAATAAAATCAATCTTTTGAAAATAAAATTACTTTTCAAATATTTCCTTCTCTTTAAAAATTATATTATAAAAAATGTTTAAAAATTTAAAAAACCAAATATTTCTTGTTTTTATCATTCTCATCATCTCATTGCAAGTAAACGCGGGTTTGATTGCGTACGGGTGCTGTCAGACTGCGTGTAACGCGGCGTGGGTAAGCTGCTACGCAGCAGCTGGTCTTGTGGCTGGTAAATATACACAACTTCTAATATTTATTTATTCTGTTTATTGATTATAGTTGCATAGATTGTTATTATTATTATTATTATTATATAGGTGTGTCAGGAGGGTTGCTTTTACCACCTGCTGCGATTGCCTGCAATGTAGCCCAAGGCACATGTATGGCTAGTTGCGCTGTTTGCTTTCTGGCACCAATACCATAAAATTTTTATTTATAATTTTTATTTATAATTGTTTTTTATTTTCTTTTTCCAATGAATCTTGTATATATGCATTACAATTCTTGTTGTAACAACAATAAAGGAAATATTAGTATTAGTAATAGTTATTATAATTGAAAAAAAATGAATATACCGAAAAAATTGGTAATATTTGGAAAAATTTGGCAATTTAAATATATATGGCCTTTTAGTTTTCTTGCGTAAATTGTTTCGTGAAATATTTTAAGAATATGTCGTTTTATCTTTAATTTTGATAATTTATTTAATACACTACTATCCTTGAATCCATGAAAATTCTTCTTGATTTTATTAATGTAACTACCACAAAAATGATATTTATTTACCAGTTACATGCCACCGTACTGTAGTGAACATCATAACTATTTTCGACCCAGCCCATTGTCTCAAAATTTATTTTCAAACCATAAAGTGTTCTTAATCGTTCGCCATCATCTTCAGGAACGCATTTCCATGTATCTTAACAAAATTTTCGATTTCCTCCTCACAATAATCTATACGTTTGTCTTCCTTGATCCAATTATCCAAAGCAAGCAAGAATATTTACAACTACATTGGGTTACAAGAGATAAAAAACGTTTCCATTTTTATAGATAAAAACCATATATTAATATTAAACATTTTCCTATATACAACGCTTTTGTTTTTGTAAGACAGTGAAAAAAACAAAGAAATCAACGCAAAATAGTGAAGCGTATCAGTGCTGTCAAAAAATGTTCAATTTATTGATGAAGATTTTTTTTTCCATAGTTTCTATAATTAATTTGTATGGAGCTAAAAAAATTTTCCCGTATGTTTTCTTTCAACTATTACGATACAATTATATAAATAATTGTTCTTTGATTATTATTATTATATTACATTTCATAAATGAAAAAGATCAAACCGTGTTCGAATTGTCTTTGGTGTCTGAGTTTGAAACAAATGGTGGTATGTCAACATTGACATGTAGGAGTTGGTTGTGTTAAATTGATGTTTTTGTTTAACTACGCGTAATAGTAAATACACAGTAATATTAATAATGGAATAAAATGCGCATTAAAAACGTAATGATTATATATGAGAAAATTGCTTGTTACATGTTATCCAAAGCCTTGGTTTGAGAACAAATTTTCGACTTGATAAACCCATATTAAATAAAACCTAAAACCATTCATTGGTAAAGGCTTATTTAGCCTGATCCTGTTATCCAAAGCCTTGGTTTGAGAACAAATTTTCGACTTGATAAACCCATATTAAATAAAACCTAAAACCATTCATTGGTAAAGGCTTATTTAGCCTGATCCGTTCAATTTATCAATTATTTCTCTCTCCCGCATAATAATGATTATAATAACAATAATACAATAACAACAATAACAGTAATAATTGTCATAAACATCAATAAATACGAATCAATAAATATTAAATACATTTTCAAAATTTACTTTATTACTCATAGTATCATTATACTTGTTACAAATTCATGTTTCTCGGGATTATGAAATAACATAAAAACCTACCAAACGATGGCCACCAGCCACTAAAAGACAATTCTTTTCGATAAACTGGAAGAACGTCAAAGAAACCAGTAATAAGTAAAGAAAACGGATAATCGAACAAAAATTTGTAAACAGAAGAAAGGGAAGATTTAAAAATTCATAAATTAATGTTAGGATCAATCCGGTGATCAAAGAAATGGGTATTAAAAGGAATTCAAAAGGGTATCGGTCCACAGTTCTTCTTTTACTGAGAGAAAGAGAGACTGACAAGAGAAAAGCAAGGCCAAGAGGATCGAAAGAAATACAAAAACAAAATTTATATAAAAAGAAACGATGATGAAAAATGTGAACGATATAACAATATGACAATATGATGTAAAAACTTAGCGAATTTCTAAGAAAAGCCCATAGAAAATTTTACTTTAAACTGAAAGAAAATTAACAAAAGAAGTTCCAACTAAAGAAATAAGTACATAAAAATGTTAATAAAATGAAAGTAAAGGAAAATGACAACAAAATCATAATAAAATAATCGCGAGAACATTTCAAAATTAAAGGAAAGAAGGAAAATATTGATAACAAATTTCACGAGGAAATAAAAAATAAAAATAAACAATATTCAATAAATATCATATGTATATACATTAATAAAATGGTGCTTTCTAAAAGATCTGCTTTTTTTTAAAAAAATATATCTCTATATATGGGTACAGTCAGAATTAACTTGTTAAGACGATGTTTGATAAAACGAATATACATGATAAATCGATTTGATTACTTCGGTTTAAAGAGTTCTGACTGTATTAGGAGATTTAGAGAGTTTAAGACAGATTAACACCATTATCAATCCCCTTCTTCAATGGTAAAATTAACTGTTAAGGGCGTGTAGATTTTTAATTATTACACGGGCAGTGAGTGAGTGAGTGAGTGAGTGAGTGAGTGAGTTGTATTCCAAAGGATTAATTGTCCTCGTGGCTCAAATAGTAGGCTTTATGTCAATCCCAGATGAGAGAGATATGCGATTGGATGATCTAATAATATTTAGTGTTAAATTGGTTTCACAACTTTATTTATGAACGCCCAAATAAAAAGATTTAAAATGAATTCAATAGTTGAAAAATATTTCAATGAAAATGAAAGATTATTAAATACTGAAGATTTTTATGATGTAAAAATATATGTTGGCATAGAACCAAATATCAAAGAAGTTCATGCACATGCATCAATCATATCAGCTCATTGTTCATTTTTTGGCAATGCATTAAATGATACAACAAAAGAAAACGGATATTATATTATTAAAAAAATTAATATTAGTGAAAAATGTTTCAAACCTATTCTCAAGTAAGTTTAAATAAATCTATTACTTATTATTATTGAATATATATTTATATAATAATAATAATTTATTTAGATTTTTATACACATGTAAAATTGAATTTAAAAATTATTCTGGAGTTGAAGTATTAGAACTATTAATTGCTGCAGGTCAACTTGGTATTGAATCACTTTGTGAATATGTAATGAAATACTTTATCGAAAATCATAAAGATTACATAAATGAAAATCCAGTCAAAATTCTACAATTGATTTATGCCAATGAAAATTTTAAGGAATTGAAAAATATTTATTTAGAAAATTTTTGTGAATATAGCAAAAAATTATTTAAATCAAGTGAATTTAAATCATTGGAAAAACCAATTCTATTAGAAATTCTCAAAAGAGATGATTGTAATGTTGATGAGATAGTTATTTGGGAAAACATTCTTAAATGGGGATTGGCAAAACATCCAGAGATCAATAATATTGATGTTGAAGATTGGCCATCACAAAATTTTGTTAATTTAGGCAATACATTAAAAGATTTTTTTTCTCTAATAAGATTTCAGGATATTTCTAAAGATGATTTTTTTAATAAAGTTGAATCATATCAAATGCTTTTTCCTAAGACTTTACGGAAACCCCTTCTACATTATTATTTATTTCCTGATAGACATCAAACTTTAGATTTACTACCATCAAGAAATCCTAAAGTTGAATTATTAAACTCAACACTTGAATCATTGACAATCAATCAAAATCTTACTTTGCTTTTTGCAAGTTGGATTGATAAAAAAAATCCACCATATAGTTCATTCAAGCAAGTCAAATATGAATTCAAACTTCTATATCAAAGTAGTAGAGATGGTTTAAGAGCAGACATATTTCATCAAAAATGTGATAACATCAACAAAACCCTTGTAGTTGGTAAAGTAAAAAATTCAGAGCAAATAGTTGGTGGTTATAATCCACTTGATTGGAATGGAGGAAGTGGATATTGGATACCTAAGAATACTACAGAAAGTTTTATATTTAACATAAGTAATAGAAATGATATTAATTCTGCTCAATTTAGTTATGTCATTAATAATGATTATAAACATGCAGTTGGGGTTCATTCTGGTGGTTTACCTAGATTTGGTGGTTCTAATAGTGATGGTGTTAAGAGTGACATTTATTTTGGTATAAATATGATTTACAGTATATCATATACTTATAATAACATCAAGATAGTAAATCAAAGCCAATTTAATGAATTGGAAATTTTTCAAATAATTGATAAAAAATAAAATAATAAATACAATGTTAAATTAATTTGTTAAATTTTTATTTTATATTATGATTAATAAATATATAATTCAGAGATGATTTAATTTCATTCCAAAATTTTACTATGCAAGGTGGTATGATCTCTAATCTAAGCATGTATAGTGGCATGGCATTAACTCAAAATTAGCTTTTTTTCTTTTTTCCACATCATGGTTCTTTCGTATTGAAAAGCCATATAATCTTAATAATAAATTTATGGTATTTTGGTTAACCCACTTTTATAAGGACTAATTGCATCTCCATAATTGGATGCTTTTATTTCTTTTGAACACTAGGATCTGTAAAATTGGAAAAACGTCAACCTATTATGTCATTGAAACTTAGAAATTACACTATAATACAAAAAATTAAAATTTATTATTACATTTGGAAATTACTTTACACAATCAACCTGATTAAATTGGTGCTTTTTTTATCAGTATGATGTAAATATACTTTAAGAATTGTCAGAATCTTTTGAAGTTGCAGTACCTTCAGTGATTCCTGTATATTTTTTTATTATTTCTTTTTGTTGAGGTGTAAGAGCCATATTAAATTCAAATAAAAATTTTATTTAAGAAATAATTCCACCAAATTCCTCCAACTTATAAATTTACTTTCAAATTGACATATTGATCACCTTGGAAATTGCCATTGTTTATGCCACGTTTTTAATACAATATGTTGATCAGATTGTAAAGCCTCGGGAACTTTTAATTCAACATTGCCATCTATCATAGACATTACTATATAACCATCTATAATTGCTCGATATAATGGTATTCTTTGTTGACAATAATATTTGCACTTTGTCTCTTAAATATATTGTGTGGAGTAATTTTACAAATAAATTTCCAGGTGTTTCTTGACTATCATAAGGTGCATCACCTTGTCTAATCGATTTGATTTTTGTTCATCTTCAATACCTATAATTTATCGAGACAAATACAAATAACTAATTAGTTGGTTTAATTAATTAATTAATCAATAAGAAATATTTAATTGAAAAAATTTGAATATAATACCAGCAGAAATGTTATCCAAAGCCTTGGTTTGAGAACAAATTTTCGACTTGATAAACCCATATTAAATAAAACCTAAAACCATTCATTGGTAAAGGCTTATTTAGCCTGATCCGTTCAATTTATCAATTATTTCTCTCTCCCGCATAATAATGATTATAATAACAATAATACAATAACAACAATAACAGTAATAATTGTCATAAACATCAATAAATACGAATCAATAAATATTAAATACATTTTCAAAATTTACTTTATTACTCATAGTATCATTATACTTGTTACAAATTCATGTTATCCAAAGCCTTGGTTTGAGAACAAATTTTCGACTTGATAAACCCATATTAAATAAAACCTAAAACCATTCATTGGTAAAGGCTTATTTAGCCTGATCCGTTCAATTTATCAATTATTTCTCTCTCCCGCATAATAATGATTATAATAACAATAATACAATAACAACAATAACAGTAATAATTGTCATAAACATCAATAAATACGAATCAATAAATATTAAATACATTTTCAAAATTTACTTTATTACTCATAGTATCATTATACTTGTTACAAATTCATGTTTCTCGGGATTATGAAATAACATAAAAACCTACCAAACGATGGCCACCAGCCACTAAAAGACAATTCTTTTCGATAAACTGGAAGAACGTCAAAGAAACCAGTAATAAGTAAAGAAAACGGATAATCGAACAAAAATTTGTAAACAGAAGAAAGGGAAGATTTAAAAATTCATAAATTAATGTTAGGATCAATCCGGTGATCAAAGAAATGGGTATTAAAAGGAATTCAAAAGGGTATCGGTCCACAGTTCTTCTTTTACTGAGAGAAAAGAGAACCGACAAGAGAAAAGCAAGGAAGGATCAACTCTAGACCAAGAGGATCGAAAGAAATACAAAAACAAAATTTATATAAAAAAGAAACGATGAAAAATGTAAACGATATAATAATATAACAATATAACAATAAAAAAAGTAAAAACTTAGCGAATTTCCAAGAAAAGCCCAAAAGTCCCAACTAAAGAAATAAGTACATAAAAATGTTAATAAAATGAAAATAAAGAAAATGACAACAAAATAATAATAAAATAATCCCGAGAACATTTTAAAATTAAAGGAAAGAATAAGGAAAAAAAATTTGACAACAAATTTCATGAGGAAAAAAAAAATAACAACATTTCAATAAATATCAATGTATAGTATATATATATTAATAAAATGGTACTTTCTAGAAAGATCTGCTTTTTTTTTTTTTAATATAGAACTAACTTGTTAAGACGATGTTTGATAAAACGAATATATACACGATTACTAGTTCTGATTGTATTAGGAGAGGTTTAGAGAGATTAGCACTATTATTCCCTTCTTTGATGGTAAAATTAACTGTTAAGGTCGTGTAGATTTTTAATTATTATTATATGGACAGTGAGTGACTGTGTCCCAAAGGATTAATTGTCCTCGTAGTTCAAATAGTAGGTTTAATCTTTTTGTCAATCCCAAATGAGGAAAACATAAGCAACTATGATCTCATTAATACATCAATATTTAGTGTTAAAAATATATAGACAAATTGGTTTCACAACTTTATTATGAACACCTAAATAAAAAAAATTCAATAATTGAGTTGAAAAATATTTTAACTAAAATGAAAGATTATTAAACATTGAAGATTTTATGATGTAAAAAATTTGTTTATTGTATCTTCTCATTGTCCATTTTTAGCAATGCATTAAATGATCAACAAAAGATAAGTTACGGTGCAGATCATCTATAATCATTAATTGCTTATAGTAACAATTGGTCAACTTCAAAATACTAAAACAAAAAAAA